GATGTCAAGTCGAATTAGAAAAAGTTCAGGGGGTTCAGCTACAACACCCCCAAATCGGGGGGAGGGTATCAAATTAAAATAGATGCGACCCCCAAATAGTTGAGTTCTTTTCCCCAAGATTAACCTAATAAAATAGTTACATAACAGTGACCTTTAAATGTGTGCATGCAGGAGAAACTTCACATTTCTTCGTTTGGATGGGACGTTAAATCAGCAACAGCGAGAGAAAGTAATCAATCAGTTTACAGAAGATGATAACATTCTGGTGTGCCATTTGACAGTAGTGATTTATAGATTGACTTCTGAAAAATTGAGCACTTAGTAATTTTCATATATCTTTCCAAACAGGTATTACTGATGTCTTTAAAGGCTGGTGGTGTTGGAATAAACCTTACGGCAGCATCTAATGCCTTTTTGTTGGTATGTGACATACTCTTTTAAAAAAAAAGCATGCTCCAGATGTTGTAAAAAGCGGTAAAAAGCCCCGCTTAAGCAGTTTTTAAAGCAGTAGCAGTCCCTGCCCCTTTGCTTTCACCGTTTTTCACCAGTGTTGAGTTGTTTTTTAAGCAGAAGCGGTTCCTGGACTGCCTTCAACAGCCAGTCCTCACTTCTGCACTTCTCTTTATTGTAGATATTGAAATATCTGAAATCTCTATCCTCATATATTATGATGCATGCCAATAATGAACGAGAAAATTTTAATATACAATCATTTTAGACATCTAGTGGTAGTTACAGAAAAGAAAAAATATTTGACCCCCCCCCCCCTCAAGTGATAGTTTTGGTGGCTTCGGTTGGACCCAGAACATACATCATTTCCAATTAAATATTTGACCTATCCATTAATTTTTTATCATGATCATGATCATTAAGAAACTCGTTAGATTAGATTATACATACAAATTCTGGGAATAAAACTATTGTCATTTATTTTCTTAATGTATATAGCATCTTAACTCATTAATGACTAATTGCAAGCATCTGAGGTGATTATTGACAGTCAATTCATCTCAAGAAAAATAAACATCAGTGATTGTTCAAATCAACAGTATTTAGGTTAGGTTTGATTTGTTGAGGGGTAGGCTATGAAGCACGGACACGCATAACATGAAGCCGTGTCGTGTCCGTGTCGGACACACGTGTCGAACACACGTATCCTATGTATGTTTTAGGATTTGCCTCGTGTCGGCGTGTCGGATGGCCGTGTCGGATCCGTGTCCGTGCTACATAGGGGGTAGGGCATCCCCTGAGGAGGAAGGAGAGGGAGCATTAGAGGTGATGGGGTGATGGAGAGGAAGGAGGTGAGATGAAGGGAGAGAAGGGAGTGGTGGAGCATTGTACTGAGAAGGAATGGCAGAGATCAAGGAGGTGGTTGTGGGACAGGGGAGTGGAGGTAGGAGGAGAGGGAGGAGGAGGAGGTGGTGATGTGACGATGACAGAGATTGAAGAAGATGGAGGAAAGGAGTTCTTTTCTTTTGTTACAGTGATAAAAGAGAAGGAGATGAGGGCCTTTTAGGATTTTTTTTCCTGAACAAATACAGAATTCACAAGTTGCATACTCTATACTTTGGGTGTAAATGTAAAGAAACTTTGTATTTTGGGTGTATGAGAACATGTAGAACTAGGTGGGTTTTGAAGTAAATGGGGTAAAAGGTTTGGTTCATAAGCAAAAACCTCAAATATTAGATCTGTATTTTATAAATTTTAGTTGTTAGAAAAATCCATTCTTGTTAACGACTGTTTCTTGAAGCATTTAAGGAGGTTTAGTCAACATTGGGTGAGAAATGTAAATTATTGCACTCTATTAGTTATATCCATTGAGATGTGAGTTATTAGGATTTTTTTTTCCAATTTCAAACATGGTAGCACATGATAAATGTTATATTTGGTATGTGGATGATTGTTCTAGTTCTCTTTTTTCTTTCCCTGTTTTTATTTCAAGATGAAATCTCCATTCCCAAATTACATTGTAGGATCCCTGGTGGAACCCAGCTGTTGAGGAACAAGCTGTCATGCGCATTCATCGCATTGGTCAAACTAGAACTGTTTCAATCAAAAGGTTCATTGTAAAGGTTATCTCTCAACCCCTCTAATTAAAATTGTTTGCCTCTTAGACCTCCCTCTTTCCACATAGATGTGCTGTTGGTGGAGCGTATAATTCTTTTTCCTTGAGGACTTATAATTTCATTCCATATATTATGACATGGCTATTTGTTGTTCTCTCATTGACTAATCCTGTCTCTTCTCGCATGTTTGTAAAAGTAGAGTTTTGTAGAAGAATGTCTGTAAGGTTGTTCATGTATACATTCTATACAATGCTATCAAGTAGGTCTGTGGATCATATAGGATAGTATATTGGATTTTGTTTTGTTTGGTTCTGGACTTCGTATCACGCCCAGATATGAGTGCTGCAGTCTGTTTCTTTATTGTGAGGAACTCACATTCCTTTTAACTGGTCTGAAGGCCGCTTATTATTTTACTTTTTACTAGTGGGGAAATTGAGCATCCTCCTCAGTCTTTAAGCTAAATGCCTTTGTGTGACCTTCATCGTAGTTTCAAGCATTTGTCATTTACCCTTTATTGTAGGGAACAGTAGAAGAAAGAATGGAAGCTGTGCAGGCACGAAAGCAGAAGATGATCTCTGGAGCACTGACTGACCAGGAAGTTCGTACTGCAAGAATAGAGGAACTAAAGATGCTCTTCACTTGAATGAAAGCAAACATTTAACGCATAGAAACGTATGGAAAATGATGTGCCAGCATTTCTCATGTCAGTCCGACAATGATGCAGCCCTCCACTACATTTAAAGAGCTAAATTTCTGTGCCAAGTTTCTGCAACTTCAATCAAGAAAAGCGCCATGTACAAGACCAGCCACTCACACAGGGAGATATATAGATGGTTAAAGAGATCAACCTGGTTATGACTACCCCTATATCGTTTACGTTTGATTCACACTTGGATGGGTCGGAGGAGGATTTTGATCGACTGTTCAGGTTGAGATTGCCACCCCCGAGTCGTAGAGGAGTGGGTGATTGCTTCTCTTGTCATACTATAGCAAAGTAATTCTGTGCATAACCTAAGGCTTGTTAATTAGCACATTCATCCCAAATTTTCTTGCCTTTTACGTACGCCCTCATGGGATATTATTTTCAGTTATTTACTAGGTCACAGTCAAACAGGGATTACATTTTGACTAATTTTAGGTGATTATTTAAATATTGAAATTTTGTCTGTGGCCCAATTCATACGCCAAACCCTGTAACGAGGGAGACTAATCTTACATGAGGCTTCAAAGAAAACTCATCTTTACCGAAACAGATGGTAAACCCATCTGATCAAGATTTGCTAATCCCCTACAAGTAAGAAGCAATTCTCTTATATCTTGTACTAAGAGGGGTAACCAAGAGAAATATTTACATTAGCCAATCTATCGACCACCTTATTGGTCTCCCTGATGCAATGAGCCAATGAATGGTTAACTCCTTCAGCCTATTGGCTCTCAATTTGCTAATGGATATTAATTTTTGGTTTAAATTTTATAATATATGGCTTTATCTAAGCCTTTGAAATTAGAATAGATGTTGAGGATCAGGGCATTCTGATGTAGCGGAAGCATAATCAAAAGAGATAACTACTCGTTATCGTATGAGCAAAACAACACAAACTCTAGACACCCTAGAAATAGAAATCATTTGAAGTTAATATTAACCAATCTAAAGTCTTACATGATTTTGTTCCTCTTATATAGGGTATAAAACAATAAAAAAGTGTCAAACTATCTTTTTCCTAAGATAAAGAGAAATCCTTACATGAACCTTTTTAAAAAAAAAAACTAGAAAACTAGAAGTAACCAAGAATTTCATGCCTACTTGAGCCTAAAGATGAATATCTTTGAACAAGAATTTTATCTGAAACCATTAATTACTTTTATGTATAGAACACTTCTTGAGCTTTCCAAAAACATATAAGAATAAAGATTCTATGGAGCGAGTTAAAAAAAAAAGATCCTCCAAATTTGCATCTTAGAACCTGTTCGAAAATACTCTCTAGCTTCAATCGTCCTGCTTTTTTCGCATGATAAGATATCTTTCAAAAACATCAATTATTGCATCCGCATCACATTCTGAACTCTCTCTCTAATTACTAGATAATTATGAAGAGGACTTGAATAAAATTTATACACAACAAAATGTTAAGGGATGGAAAGGATTAGAAAGAACCGGAGTACTATTTATAATACACTAAGAATGATATTAGAATTCCCCAATCTGTCCCGGTCCTATACCTCCGGTAGAATCGAAGCTCTTCATATTACTCAAATATTATAGATTAGTATCAATTTAAAAATAAACTTTAAATTCCAACTCGGAAAATCTCAGGTCGCTAGCAGGATATCCTCAAATTGATTTATTTTTAGGCATTAAGAGCACGTCAAAGCTTCGGTAAATAATTCTTTTGCCGCTGCTACCGTTACATGCATGTCCAACAGCACCAAGTGTTTTCGCCAAAAGTTGGTTTTGTTGTCGAATTCATTATATCTTCGGTCGATTACAATAAATTCAAAGAAAACAGCCTTTTTATAAGACTCTTTTACACAACAAAAAGAAAATTACAACTCTTGAGAAAATAAACGCAGGATTGTTGTTTGGATCACTGCTTTCGTGGGATCTTTGCCTGTGCCGGGAGCGCTTTGACTCGTGGACCACCAAATCACAGATTCTGATTGAACCGTGAGGGGTTTATGATTCTGACTTCGTTTATCGAAGTGAGAAATTGAAACGATATCTTATCGATGTAAGATAGTCGTTCTTCTTGAAATCAAGTCAAAGCCTGATTATCAAGGATTGGCCGTAAGATCAGCACCTCTGCTCTCTCTCTGCTCTGGATTGCTCTCAAGTGCTCAACTTTTGATCTCTGCTGGCAGCCCCTGTGAAAATGGCCTTCGGGGGGTATTTATAACCCTCTGGATGAACAGTACTCGCGAGACAGCATTTGCTGTCTCGGCGGGCGAGACAGTGTTTGCTGGCCGAGACAGTGTTTGCTGTCTCGCCCAGCGAGACAGTAAATTTGCTGTCTCGCCCAGCGAGACAGTAAATACTGTCTCGGAAAATACAGTTTCTCATTGTAACCGCTCTCCCACGTTTTAAACTCCGTTATTTTGGCAGTTATCCACGTGATTCTCGCCCACGACGTTTCCCACGTTCTTGAACAGTTAGTGGCCACGGATGGGAATTTGAGACGATCCTAACTGTTTAAAGGTTTGATCGTTCAATTTGTGGACCTCTCGTTCATGGAACGAATCGAGAGGGGATTTTGGCTTTGGTCCTAACTGTTTAAAGGTTTGACCAAGATGGGAATTTGAGACGATCCTAACTGTTTAAAGGTTTGATCGTTCAATTTGTGGACCTCTCGTTCATGGAACGAATCGAGAGGGGATTTTGGCTTTGGTCCTAACTGTTTAAAGGTTTGACCAAGATGGGAATTTGAGACGATCCTAACTGTTTAAAGGTTTGATCGTTCAATTTGTGGACCTCTCGTTCATGGAACGAATCGAGAGGGGATTTTGGCTTTGGTCCTAACTGTTTAAAGGTTTGACCAAGATGGGAATTTGAGACGATCCTAACTGTTTAAAGGTTTGATCGTTCAATTTGTGGACCTCTCGTTCATGGAACGAATCGAGAGGGGATTTTGGCTTTGGTCCTAACTGTTTAAAGGTTTGACCAAGATGGGAATTTGAGACGATCCTAACTGTTTAAAGGTTTGATCGTTCAATTTGTGGACCTCTCGTTCATGGAACGAATCGAGAGGGGATTTTGGCTTTGGTCCTAACTGTTTAAAGGTTTGACCAAGATGGGAATTTGAGACGATCCTAACTGTTTAAAGGTTTGATCGTTCAATTTGTGGACCTCTCGTTCATGGAACGAATCGAGAGGGGATTTTGGCTTTGGTCCTAACTGTTTAAAGGTTTGACCAAGATGGGAATTTGAGACGATCCTAACTGTTTAAAGGTTTGATCGTTCAATTTGTGGACCTCTCGTTCATGGAACGAATCGAGAGGGGATTTTGGCTTTGGTCCTAACTGTTTAAAGGTTTGACCAAGATGGGAATTTGAGACGATCCTAACTGTTTAAAGGTTTGATCGTTCAATTTGTGGACCTCTCGTTCATGGAACGAATCGAGAGGGGATTTTGGCTTTGGTCCTAACTGTTTAAAGGTTTGACCAAGATGGGAATTTGAGACGATCCTAACTGTTTAAAGGTTTGATCGTTCAATTTGTGGACCTCTCGTTCATGGAACGAATCGAGAGGGGATTTTGGCTTTGGTCCTAACTGTTTAAAGGTTTGACCAAGATGGGAATTTGAGACGATCCTAACTGTTTAAAGGTTTGATCGTTCAATTTGTGGACCTCTCGTTCATGGAACGAATCGAGAGGGGATTTTGGCTTTGGTCCTAACTGTTTAAAGGTTTGACCAAGATGGGAATTTGAGACGATCCTAACTGTTTAAAGGTTTGATCGTTCAATTTGTGGACCTCTCGTTCATGGAACGAATCGAGAGGGGATTTTGGCTTTGGTCCTAACTGTTTAAAGGTTTGACCAAATGGGAATTTGAGACGATCCTAACTGTTTAAAGGTTTGATCGTTCAATTTGTGGACCTCTCGTTCATGGAACGAATCGAGAGGGGATTTTGGCTTTGGTCCTAACTGTTTAAAGGTTTGACCAAGATGGGAATTTGAGACGATCCTAACTGTTTAAAGGTTTGATCGTTCAATTTGTGGACCTCTCGTTCATGGAACGAATCGAGAGGGGATTTTGGCTTTGGTCCTAACTGTTTAAAGGTTTGACCAAATGGGAATTTGAGACGATCCTAACTGTTTAAAGGTTTGATCGTTCAATTTGTGGACCTCTCGTTCATGGAACGAATCGAGAGGGGATTTTGGCTTCGGTCCTAACTGTTTAAAGGTTTGACCAAATGAGTTTTGTGAGGGAAGATTGATCTAACGAAGTGATCGAATCTCATCTCAGCAAAAGAGTGTTCGAAAATCATAATAGGAGCTTAGTATTTATCATTCTGTCCATAATAATCGGGTTATCCCTAAGAATATTATATTTAACATTCTTCCAGGAACTTCCCATTACATGAATTATCGACCCCCAGCTTTCTTTGTAAAACTGGGTATAACGAGGAGTACGTTAACCTCAGTCATATGTTCGGGTTATCCTTAAGAATATAGGATTCTCCAGGAACTTCCCGTTAAGGAAAGGAAATAGTTTAGACTCATATACCTTTTGGAGTATCGAGGAGCAGTTTATACTCGTATACTTTTCGGAGTGAGGGGAAACAGTTTATACTCGTGTACCCAATGGAGTTAGGGAAAACAGTTTAAGTATCCGATGGAGTATTATGGTCGTCTTTACTCGACTTCTTTCGCCGTTATGACGCCGGAGTCAATTAAGGCTTGGATTTTGTTTTTGAGTCCAAAGCAAATTTCGGTGGGATGAAGAATCCTTCTGTGGTACGCACAGTAATTTGGATCCGTAATCATTTTAGCACCATCCTGATCTTTAATAGGTGGTAGCTCGATTTTGTCATTAGCGAGGAGGTATTCCAATATGGCTGGAGCTTCATCCTCTTCGAATGAATATTCTTTTTTGAAACTTCGGATCGAAAGTTGCGTTCCCAATGATGGCAGATGTCATTTGTTGGACTCTCTCAACTTCTTTCTTTTAAGAAAGTGTTCAGCTTGTTCGCCACGAAATTTTAACTCCTTCCAAGTTGTGGACGGCTCAACCCCCAGGACTTCCAGGACATCGATGGAGAGATTATTGTGGCATGTTTGCAAGATGAACTTTTCTGTAACAGGATCTCTGCAATTCATCCGTCATCAAAGCATTGATTTTGTCTTCAAGTTTTTGCATTTTCCCGTCATCGTCTTCATTTCTTTCTGAATGATGTCGAGTAAAGATAATTGGACCACCCCCAGTGAGAGGTGCTATTGAACCACCCCCAATATCGTTATTGGGAGGATCCGTTAAACCACCCCCAGCGTTATTGCCATTGGGAGGTGTATCAGCCATAATGACTTCATCCACCTCTGGATCACTGTCATCTACAACATTCCGAGTGTGGTGGCTGGATTCAAATCGCTGATTGGACTCAGGAGGTTGAGGCTGTTGAGTTAACAGTTCTCTCATTTGTTGGATAGCCAACTTCATTTCTGTCT